AGACCCTTCTTCAGACCCTTTTTCTGAAGAAGGGTCTAGGCCCGAAATGTCAGCTTTCCTGCTCCTCTGATGCTGCTTGGCCTGCTGTGTTCATCCAGCTCTACACCTTGTTATCTCAATATCTCTCCGTGAACTATTTGTATCCCTCTCGCAACCTGCAAATTTGGCTAGAATACATTCACTTCCTTCTTCCAAGTAATTAATATATATTATAAGCAGTTGCAGTTCCAGCACTAATCCCTATGGAGGCCCACTAGTCACAGGTCACAAACCTGAACAAGAACCCCTTATCCCCACTCTCTTGCCTGCTCAGGAACCAATTCTGTATCCATATCATTATATTATTATCAAGACTGTGGGCGCTTGGCTTATGACTTAATCTTTTGCGAGGTAACTTGTCACACGCCTTCTGGAAGTCCACAGACAATACGTGTACTGGTTTCCGTCTGTCCACTCCGGTTGAGACTTCTTGAAAAACTGTAAGAAGTTAGTGAGATATGGTTCCCCTTCGTGAATCCATGCTGACTCTGCTTGATTAGATTATGATTTTCCAAATGTCTGCTGTTACTTAATTGATTCTAATACTTTTCTAGCAATCGATGTTAGGCTAATCAGCCTACAGTTACCCATTTTTGCCCCTGTTTTGAAATAGGGTGTCACATTAACAGTTTCCATCCAGAGACCAGTGATTTTTGTAAAATTACAATCAATGCATCCACTATCTCTGTAGATACCTCACTACCTCTGTTGTGCAGTCTGTCACTTAAATAGTTAATTTAACTGTTCTAAGCATGAGTTAATGCAGTTAAAGGTTTTGTGAAACCAGCTTGGGGAGGCAGTCTCATGTCAAATTGTCTTTTCAGCCTGTTTTATTACAAATCAAAATATTTTGTAAGTCCCCGGTGGATTGGTTTTAACTTTTTGAATTTAGCAAAGCATGGCCTCATTATGGGCAATGTCATTTAAGTAGCATTTGAATGTAACAAAATGACTCTTCATTGACTGGAGAGCAGCATTAGTGAGGCAGTGTCAGTTCTGAGTAGTTGTGTCAAAACTGCAGAAATGCAGTAGTAAAAAATTGAATTTTGGAATATAAAAAGCATATTTACATACTTCAGATATAAGGTTTTGTTTTGTTTTCCTTCCCTTAAGTTGCTTATTACTGGAACAGAACAATTTAACCAGAAACCGAAAAAAGGCATTCAGTTTCTTCAGGAGAACGGCCTGCTTGCATCCCCCATGGACAATAGTGAAGTCGCTCAGTGGCTCAGGGAAAATCCACGACTAGACAAAAAAATGATTGGCGAATTTATCAGTGATCGGAAGAGCATGGAACTCTTGGACAGTTTTGTTGGGTATCGAAACTACTTTTGAATATTTGTTAACATATGTGCTTTCATGTATAATGAGTAATCTGTGAAATATGCAAATACTACCTAAAAATTAGGTCCATGAGGAAGTCCTTGGTGTCACAGGATAAACAAAAACAGGCTTTGTTTCAAATAGCAACTATTGGCATGACTACCTGCCCCCCTTCACTTTTGCGAATCCTTTAGCTAAGTTTACTGACTTGAGAAGGAACTTCTTCACCCAGAGGGTTGTTAATCTGTGGAATTCCTTGCCCAGTGAAGTAGTTGACGCTACTTCAGTAAACGTTTTTAAAGATAAGGTAGATATTTTTTTGAACAATAACGGAATTAAGGGATACTGTGCGAACGCGGGTAAGTGGATCTGAGTCCACGAAAAGATCAGCCATGATCTTATTGAATGGCGGAGCAGGCTCGAAGGGCTGGACGGCCTACTCCTGCTCCTAGTTCTTATGTTCTTATGTTTGCAGTAGTGAACAAACACCACTGATTCCAGCAGATACCAGTTTCTGGATATACGTAATTGATTGCTGTTAATTTTGTTTGATGATGGCATAGTGTTAATGTTGTTGGACATGTAATCTAGAGGCCTAGGCTAATGGTCTGATGACATAGGTTCACATTCCCCAGGGCAGTTGGTGGAATGTAAATTCGATTCAAAAATCTGCAACTGAAAATTAATCTGAGTAGCAGTGACAATGACTACCATCGTTGACTGTTGCAGAAATCCATCTCGTGCATTAATGGCCTTTCGGGAAGAAATCTGCCTTCCTTACCTGATCTGACCTACATGTGACTCCAGACCCACAGTGATGTGATGGACTCTTAACTGCCTTCTGAAATGGCCTAGTAAACAAATTAGTTCAAGGGCTTTTGAAAGAGTAAAAACAAATTCTGTTAATTACCTACAATTTATTTTTCTGGTGCATTGACAGCAATTCTCAATGTTATCCATTGGAGAGAATCATGTTTCACCAATTCTGCTGATTAATGTGAATGCATCGTGCATTTCAAGTCCTTGGGTGCAGCTGGTTGTCCAGCCAACAGTTCTGTTCATCTTTTTCTGTTCCTACCTTAATACAGATGCACATTTTCCTTTGGTAAACATGTATCAAAGAGGTGTGCTCGATGCAAGAGTTAACTTGGAAAAGGTGTTTTGAGATATTTACTTCTTGTATACAGCTGAACTTCTTACAAATTATGGCTACTGTTTAATGGCTATGTCAGGAAAGCGAACATGAGCTGTTCAGAGTGCAGTTAATATATTAACATTTAAATACTTCCTAAATGCTGAGAACTTCTGTAGGGCTGTTTGCCACTGCAAATTGCATTACTTTGTTCTGTAGAGTGGTAAAAAATTTCACTCTGCAACTAGTGGTTCACATAAGATGTTAGCTAAATTACATTCTGATCACCAATGATTGGTGCTGTTTTTCTGACAGACTCTCAGCAAGGAAATATGAGGTAACATTGAATGGTAGGTCTCTATGGGGTTGAAATGCAAGAGTGAAGTTAAGGATATCTCCTGTGAGGAGGAGATTTTGATCTATTTGGCGTTGCATGTGCAGTGGGCTGAGATTGAAGTTGTTTTGTACTGACAGAATTAAACTGCAATACTTTGAACCAATCTGTCAAGTAGCAATAAAATGTGAATTTAGTGATTTTAAAACAAAAAATTGAGTAAATTGGACATTGAATGAAAGGCAAATTAATTGTATGTGGGAAGTTCTTTGAATCAAAGTTCCATTACATTTTATCTTTTTAATTCTTCTGTTTTAAATTCTGCAATGGTGTCTTTTGCTATTTCTACAATATGAAGCAAACCTACCACAAAGCAAGTCTGTGCTTAACATGCATTAATTGGTTTATCCTTTGTAAATAACTATTTAAAGTAATATTTTTCTGCAATCTCGAATTGTAGGTTATTATTGCACAAAAAAAGTGCCAATGCTCGTCTTATGATGTTCCGTACTGTAAAGATTAACAGATTAAAGGACTTGAATGTTAATTCTTACGTTACAGTTACTGACTATGGATGTTTAAACACTAGGACATTTACTTTCCAAGGATTGAGAGTTGATGAGGCGTTGCGCTCCTATCTAGAAGCCTTCAGACTCCCTGGTGAAGCCCCTGTCATTCACAGACTATTAGAAGTCTTCACAGATCATTGGCATGTATGTACTCCGCAAACTGAAGCGAAAATGTTGTGAGCATTTCAAAACTTGTTTGATGAAAGTAGTTCTGCGGAAAAATGTAATTGTGTAAGTTCTTGCTGGTAGCTATAACCAGCATTACAGAGATCCTTGAATGTCTCTATCTTTACACTGTTGGTGGATCTTCCAGACTATTAAGTCTAGATTCTACATTCAAAATACTTACAGTATTAATTTAAATATTTTTGAAAAAAATATTCCTGAACTGAAAAAATACTAAATTGATCTGGATTTTGTTTTGGGTAAAAGTAACTGAATTTATTGCTCAAATAAAAGCTACAGTGATGTAAATGTTGGAGATCTGAAATAAAAGTAGAATGTGCTAAAGAAATCTATGGATGCTGCAAGACCTGTTGATTTTATCCAGCACTTTTTTTTTTGAATAATTGCACAGTGCATTGTATTCTCACTACAAAGTGAGGACAAAGTTGGCTCAATTTTATTTTTATATCCTGCTGCATTTGAGAACAATCAAAATGACAAGTCATCACAGTCACTGGCTGTGAGTTTTAAGTGGTTATTATTAGAAGAAAAAGCAAACCTTGTGTAACTCAAGCAAAGCACGACTTTGTTTATTATAGTAGGTACCTGCGTGTTCGTACTATTTAAAAATATTCTTTTGAGCCTGTTGTTGTTTTGATTGCGAAATTTCTAGATTTGCCACTTTCTCTTTACAGAAAATTAATGGCTCACCGTTTTCCAACAATGATGCCTGCTTTGCACTTGCCTATGCTGTAATAATGCTCAATACAGACCAACACAATCACAATGTTCGTAAGCAAAATGTACCAATGACATCAGAGGTGAGTGAATCCAATGCAATATTGGTAAATGTCTTTTGCAAATATTTATTTATTTATGCCATTTCATGGCAGCTGCATGTTTACAAAAGACTGTGTCCATTCTTGAATAATGATTGAAGACTGAATTTTGTCATCATAGAAGAAATGATGGACAGAAAAACTACTTGAGAGTTTTGATTTGCATTAGAGCATTGTGCTGTGGTTAATTTGTAGTTTGATATGTATGATTAACATCTGAACCAATTGTCACTTTTAAATTGCAGCTAATTCAGGAAAGGGGGCTTTCAATATCCCATGGCTCAGAATCTTAATTAATGGTTTAAAGGGCTCTTACCACTTGTTACGTATTGTTGGCACGTCAAGATGCTTGCTATTTTGTTCACATTGTTTTAGATCAGTGTTTCTGTTAACATTCATGGTCGGTTAAGGACAATTCATGCAATGTAATTTGCAAGGAGTATTGCCATCCCTTCAGGAAGATTTAACCCAGTAATGTTGTCATATGGCTATTAAGAAAAGTTAGTTTTAGTTGAAGAGACTGCATTTTGCAATATCTTTCTTGTGTTTTGTGTTTGCATTTCTGGGTTTCATTGCAAGTTGGTAGCTGAGCAGGTCAATACATTTTCTCAATATACAATTGTATTCCACAATACTGTACTAAGGGAGGACACTTGGGAAGGCTCATCCAGCTAGACCAAATGGGTAGAGCTCAGGAATGGGAAGGAAGCAATCACTTTGGGATTGTACTACAGGCCTGCCAACTACCAGCAAGTGTTAAAGGAGCAGATATGTGGACAGATTATAGAAAATCGTAAAAACAACAGGTTTAGTGTGTGATTTCAACTTCCGCTAAATTGACTGGGACTCAGAGTGCCAGGAGCTTGGATGGGAAAGAATTTATTAGGTACGTCCAGGATGGATTTTTTTGAAACAATACATAAATAGTCCAACTAGGGAAGGGGCCATACTAAACCTGGTACTAGGGAATGAACCTGGCCAGGTGCTTGAAGTTTCGGGGAGCATTTCGGGAACAATGACGGTAATTCTGGAAGTTTTTCAGGTGAAAGTGCTAAACTGGGGGAAGGCTAACTACCACAATATTAGGCAGGAACTGGGGAATGTAAACTGAGACAGCTGTTTGAGGATAAATCCAAATCTGGCACGTGGGAATCTTTTAAAGGCCAGTTGATTAGAGTTCAGGAACAGCAAGTTCCAGTGAAAATGAAGAATAAGCATGGCAAGATTTGGGAGCATTGGATGACAAGAGAAATTGAGAGCTCAGTCGGAACAAAAAAGGAGGCATATTTAAGGTTTAGGAAACTGAAAACAGAAAGAGCCCTCAAAGAATACAAAGATAGCAGGAAAGAACTCAAATTAGGACTTAGTCCTGTGCACCAAAGACATTTACTAAGGAAAATTCCAACATGTTTTTTACATATATAAGGAGCAAGAGGAAAGCAAGGGAAAGGGTAGGTCGCCTGAAGGACAAGGAGGGAATTTATGTGTGGCCCTGGAGGAAGTGGGTGAGGGTTTAATGAATACTCTGCATCGGTATGCATGAAGGAGAAGGACATGGTGGATGGTGAGTCTTGGGAGTGGTATGTTGTTATTCTGGGGCATGTCAAGATTTAGAAAAAAGTTGTTAGATGTTTTTAAAAGCATTAAGGTAGACAAGCCCCCAGGACCTGATGGGACCTATCCCAGAATGCTGAGGGAGGCAGATGAGGAAATTGCTGGGGCCGTGTACGACATCTTTATAGCTTATTTAGTCACAGAAGAGGTCCCAGAGGAGATTAGCCAACATTGTTCCTTTGTTTAAGAAGGGCAACAGTGGTAACATGGGTAATTACAGGCCGGTGAGCCTTACATCATTGGCAGGGAAGTTATTGGAGATGATTCGTAGGGAGAGGATTTACTCGCATTTGGAGAAAACATAGACTCATTAACAAAAGGGAACGTGGCTTTGTGTGGGGGCAGTTGCCTCTCAAACATGATTGAATTTTTTGAGGAAATGACAAAGATGGTTGAGGGCAGGGTGGTAGATGTTGTCTTTTGGACTTTAGTGAGGCCTTTGACAAGGTCTCCAATGGCAAGCTGTTAGAAAAGGTGAAGCCACATGGGGTATGCAATTAACTGGTAAAATGGATACAGAACTGGCTTAGTGGTAGAAGACAGAGTAGCAATGGAGGGGTGTTTTTCTGACTGGAGACCTGTGATCAGTGGTGTTCCGCAGGGATCAATGCTGGGACCAGTGTCACTTGTGATCAATGTATAAATGATTTGGAAGAGTATGTAGGTGGCCTGATCAGTAAGCTTGCAGATGACACAGAGATTAGGAGAGCTGCAGGTAGTGAGGAGGATTGCTAGAGAATGCAGCAGGTTATGGATAGACTGGAGACTTGGGGAAAGAAATGGCAGATAGAGTTTAACCCAGACAAATGTGAGATTATGCACTTTGCACCATCTAATGCAAGCGGAAGTACACAATAAATGGTAGAACTTTTAGATCCCTCTGTATGTCGATGTTACTAAGTATACAGGTCCACAGTTCCCTGAAAGTGGCAGCAGAAGTGGATAAGGTGATCAAGAAGGCGTATAATATACTTGCTTTTACTGATCAGGCATAGAGTACAAAAATTGGCAAGTTCTGTTGCAACTGTATAGAAATTTAGGCCACGTTTGGAATATTGTGTACAGTTCTGGTCACTACCCTACAAGAAGGATGTGGAGACTTGGGACAGACTGCAGAAATGGTTTGCCAGAAGTGGTTTGGAGGCTATTATCTATGAGGAGAGATCGAACAAACATGGTTTTCCCTTGGGCGTTGAAGAATGAAGGGGTGACCTGATAGAAATTTACAAAATTATGAGAGGGGTGGATAGAATGGATAGTCGGGAGTCTTTTTCCCAGAGCAGAAAAGTCAATTACTATTAGGTTTAAGTTCAAGGAGATAAGTTGGAAGGAGATACGAGAGGCAATTTTTTTTTTTTAAACACACTGGGTGGTAAGTGCCTGGAATGCACTGCCAGAGGAGGTGGTGGAGGTGGATGCAGATGCAGTAGCAATGTTTAAGAGGCATCTTGACAGATATGTAAATTGACAGGGAATAGAGGCCAAAGGTTTTTAGTTTAGAAAGGCATCATGTGTTGGCGCAGTCTTGGTGGGCCAAAAGGCCTGTTCCTACACACTGGGCAGTTCTGTTGAATTTGGATGATGGCTCTTTTTCAGAAGGTAAAATTAATATTTTACTATGATGCCTTCCATACAATTAGGATATGGCAGTGTCTTTGAAGCCAGTTAATTACTTTTATAGTCATTGTTTAGTAAACATGCATGGCAGTTAATTTTCCATGGATCAGTAACCTCTAACTGCAAATGGCTCAGGATATTTGATCAAACCCCTCAAAGTGTCATGGGATCTGATCGCATAGATGGGGCCTTGGCCTAACATCTAATCTGAAGGGTGACCATTGGTCAACAATTCTGCAGTTGCCACCTTTGTATGAAATTGTCAGCCTAGATCTACTTTTACAGCCCTCGTAGGGTCTGATCCTATCATGATCTGACTTGGAGGTAGCATTACTACCATTCGAAGTTAAGGTACTGCAACGTCATTTGAATCTTTAAAAGTTGATTACTGCATAGTCCAACGCAAATTAAATTTAAGCAGTGTGTTACTTCTCTGGAGTTACACAACATAAAACACTGCAATGTTGTTAATACCTGAGAGGATTAACTTTTTTCAAGAATTTTCTTCTTGTTGTCTGCAATGTAATTAGTCAACAATTTTAGCACTCCCTGCTCCAAGTAAAATGTAACCATTTAAAACTAATGGATTTGACTTTTGAAGGAATAGTCTTTGATGTCCATTCTCAGCTCTGATGGGCTGGCATTATGTCTAATAATTATGCAAGATCTCTGACTTAATTAAATGGTATAACCTAATGGATAGATGAAGAAGGTTTAATTTTACCAATGTTACAAAGATCAACACTGAAGTCCACCTTCTAATATCTCCAGCGAAAGCTATGTCTAATAAATTCTGAAGTAATTACATTTGTTCGCTATAGCATAAGCTTTTAAATCCCTTTACATACCTAAAATGGTGCAGTGTTTCATCAGATCGCCTGCTTGACCTGTTCCATGAAATCATTTTAATTAACTGAAAGCTCAAATGTGTACAAGGACTGCACCTGCCCTTCATGTTGTTTATAGTAAGGAAACTGAGTGATATTGTTCAATATTACTACATTGAAGTGACTTTACAAGAATTTTGCATGTATGTCTTATCCACCCCCTTTTTTAATGTTCTTTGGGTAAGTAATGGCTGACCTTTGTGATTTGCACCAATAATTTTTATTCTTTTTGGTTATCTTTTTTTTTCTTGCAGCAATTCAAAAAGAATTTGAAAGGAGTTAATGGCTCTAAAGATTTTGATCAAGATATGTTAGAGGACATATATAATGCAATCAAGTAAGTTTGTTTCACTAACAGCTTATACTGCTAGGCAGATTTTAATTGAACCAGTAATGCAGACAACAGGTAAAATCTTCTAATTTTTCTCAAGGATTTTCTAGATCACGTTTTACTTATGTTTAGGCAGACTGATTTATAGTAATATTCGAGAGAGAATAATGCAGGCAACTACAGGGATACTTATAAGGACTGTGCTTTTATTCATAGTCCAGGTGAAACCCCCATCTGGATAGCTTGTGCTTTTGAAAATTATAACAAGTAAAATTTCCTTTCAAATTTTGCTGGAAAAATGAACCAAAAATTATTTCATCATGAATCGATGTTGTCTGTCTGCAAATGCACCTTCAATTGCTCTTACTCTCTTTGCTCAGATTTAATCCTGTCTCTATCCCTCACTACTTTCTCACCATCCCTTCCCTTCTTTTACAACCCTTTCATTTGAGGGCAACAGCTTTGCAGTTCAGGTAGAAGCAGAGTGGCAATGACTGCTGGTCAAGGTGGGAATTAGTGTCATTGCTTTTGCTGAATGCTGGAGATAGGGCGTCTGATGATTTGATGTAGAGGTCAGAGGTGTTGACAGTTCTGGGTTCTGTATTTGTAGGTCTGTCATTCAGTTACTCCAAATTTAGGCTATTTCTCTTCTCCCATGTTTACTGTAGATTTAAACTTCGAACGGTGCTTTGTCAGCGTAAGTGCACCAGATTGATCTGTAGCTTCTGTTTCCAGCCTTGCAACTACCCTACAGTCAAAACTTTACTGAGAGATCTACAATACTGCCTGATTCAGTCAGGGTGTCCCTGCATACGATTTTCCACATGTCTGAGGAGATTGTAGAAAGTCAGGCACAGCTCAGTTTCTTAACTAACGTAAGTTAACGCAAAAACAGTGCCTTTACTTACTAACATGCCTTTGGGGAGAACTCGGCAAAGGCAATGGATCAAGCTTCAAATTTCCTGATTTGTTGAACTTTGTGTTGTACCACTCGCCATATTTAATCACTGTAGTAGAATGGTTAAATAAATGAGCAAAAATCTGGAAATGGAATATGATACAGGACAATTGAAGCACTTCGGTAAGAAGAATAGAAGAACTGAATATTATTTGAATATTATTTGACTGTAGAAAATTATTGCACAGAGGATCTGGAGGTCGTGATGAATGAATCTCAAAAAGCTAGTATCCAAGATTAGAAGATAGTAGGGAAAGCAAATGGACTGTTGGCCTTTATTTCAAAAGGGATGGAGTACAAAAATAGGGAAGGCTTGCTAAAACTGTACAAGGGACAAGCCACACCCCACCTGGAATGTTGTGTTTTGATCCCCTTGTAAATTTCCAGGGGTAAGGGCAATGGAGGCAGTGTAGAGGAGATTCATTAGATTGATCCAAGGTTGGAGGGATTTTCTTTTTTTTTAATTTACCTATTTTTCTAATCAACCTAATGTTATTACACACCTCTGGAGCAGGTGGGACTTGAACCTGGGCCTCCCGAGCCAGGGATGAGGACATTACCACTGGATAACACGAGGGCCCCCAGAGGGATTTTCTTATGAAGAGAGATTGATTAGGTTAGGCTTATACTCACTTGAATTTAGACAAATGAGTAGAGCCTTTATTATTTGTTGGGACAGATGCAGAAAGGTTGCTTCTACCTGTGGGAGAGTCTAAGATCAGAGGGCATAATCTCAAAATAAGTTTTTGCCCATTTCAGACAAAATTGAGGAGGAATGCCTTCTCTCAGAAAGTGGTGAATATTCAAGGCTGAGATAGGCAGACCTTTAATCAGTAAGGGAATCGAGTGGCTACAGTGAAAAGGCAGGAATGAGGAGTTGAGGATTGTCAAATCTACCATGATCTCATTGAATGGCAAAGCAGACTTTATGGGCTGAATGGCTACGTCTGATTTGTTGTATGGTTTCACATTCTGTGAATTGTTGGTATAACATTATAAAGTAATCGATTTTAAAGAAAGAAGCAATTCTAAGGGTAATACTGATTTTTCAGTTGATAAAAGGATGGAATGTTACCTTTAAAGAGAGCTCAATCATAGTTAGTGAGGGAGAACCCCTGACCTGCTTTAGAAATGTAAAAACTGTATTTAATTCACTTCACTATTGTAACAAATGAAAGACCACCTTGCATGTATGAATAACCACATAACAAGCTAAATTAATATTTGACTGCTGGCATTTGGTATAGTTTGTGTTCCTCATAAACCTGTGTAGCTGTGATGTAATTTTAAAAATAGAACAGGGTAATACTAAAGTTGTTGGAAAAGCCAGTCAGATGTTTGCAAGCTATTTATATTGTTATCTTTCTATCATAGGAGTTATTGGCCATGTATACCAAATGGTTCACACATTTATACATAGTTCAATGTTTTTAAATTCATGTAAAATCTTAGGAAAGGAAGAACATGCCAACGATTCTAGAAATTTAGTGAAGAAAACTTTTAATTTGGCCTAATGCGAGGTATTGATTACTTTAAAGTTTTAAGAGCATAAAATGCCTGTGATTCAGGATGTTTAGCCTAAAATGGTTGTAATCTGGGAACACATGCAATTCACAAATATTGAAAGTTACTTTACTTTTGTATTTAGCATTTAAAGACACTTATCTGCACCACCTACAGAGATTAATGAGGGTTGTTTACTCATGGGAACATTTTACATTTTCTAAAATTAACTCGGAAGTAAGACTACGTATTTATATAGCAACTTACAAATCTGTAGATCATTCCAAAGCATTTGCATTCAATGAATTAATTTCTAACTTTAGCTGCTCTTGTTATGTAGGGACACATGAATTGAATATTTTGTACAATCCGCTATTGGAGTTGAAGATTTAAAGTTAGGATGCTTTCATTTGCCAACCTGATAAACTGCACAAAACTTTTGAATTAGTTTTAATAAAACCTGAAAAATGAGCAAGAAAATCACCAAAAATAGCCTTTGAACCTAAGCCAGTGACCAAGAACATCAGTTAATGGTTACCGAATATGTTAAATTCTTGTTATCGTGCGGGTTATAGGATTTTTACCAGTGTTCTCAGAATGAATTTTGGCCCATTTCTCCATGAAAAGTGAAACCTAACATGCTTGCTTTATTGACTTTTATCAGGAAGTACCGATGGCTGATTTGAAAACACTTCAGTGATTGAAACTGAACATTTTTTCGGCAGTAGGGCTCAGTATAACAGTAGATGAAAGATTTACCCAATAACCTGACAGCATTTCTTAACATCATATCTTAATAGATTCATAGCTGCTCATTTAATGTTGGTTTAAACATTTAACCAAAAGACTGAAATAGTTGTAATTAGATTGGTAGAATACAGAACAATTTGCAAAACATGGCAAACAAATATGATTTTAATTGGTATGTCTTATTGTTGCAGAGACTTTAATACAGCAATGATTGATGTCGTTTTTTAGGGGGTTTAATTTGGGTCTGTTTGACTGTTCATTGTTCCGAATTTATCTGTATAATCTGATATGTATAGTATCAAATTGGAAAATAAATGTGTCACTGTAATTTTCCATGCCCTCAATTGAAAGGTCAGAAATCACACGGCACTAGGTTATAGCCCAAGAATTTTATTTGAAAATACAAGCTTTCGGAGCCTCGCTCCTCCTTCAACTGTTAGAGAGAGAAGTAGTATCAGACACAGAATTTACAAATAAAATATCAAAACGTCACACCACTGATGAAGATGTATTAAACAAACCTAAGATGCTTGTAAATCTTCAATCATTTGGAAGGTTTTACCTGAGTAGTATGTATATGAAAATCGCTGAAATCCTTTCAAGTCACTGTCCTGAGAGAACTACAGGTTTTATCAGTGCAAAAAAGAAATGACATTTTAGGTCAGACAATGCATTTTAGATGTGAGGCCTTGTTTTTTTTTTTAAGAATCTGTTTGTGGTTTAGTTTGGAGTCAGACCGGTTTTACTTCTAAAGTAGGAATTTATAAAACACCATGTCGACCGACTGTCTATAAATTGTGTGCTTTTTGAACAAAATAGAATGGAGGTGCAAAAATAAATTCACCCCATAGATTTGTGTGTGTGTGAGAAAGAGAGAGTGGGGAGTGGGGGGAGACGGCGGAGAGAGAGTGGGGGGAGGCGGCGGAGAGAGAGTGGGGAGGCGGCGGAGAGAGAGTGTGTGTATTGTGTGGTGGGGTCACCTGTAGTGCAACGTGAACCCAAGATCCCGGTTGAGGCTGTCCATGCACACATGCGCGCGCACATACTCTCTTTCACACAGTCTCTCACACTCTCTCGCTCTCTCTCTGTCTCTCACACAGTCTCTCACTCTTTCTTTCTTTCTCTCTCTCACTCACACATTCTCCCCCTCTCACACGTACTCTCACTCTCCCCCCCCCCCCCCCCCCCTCCTCCCCCCCCCCCCCCAACCCTGTCCCTCTCCTCTTCCCCCCCACCTCCCCCCCTCCCTCCTCTTTCCCCCCCACACCCCTTTCTCTCTCTTCCCCCTGTTTCTCCCCCCAAGCCCCCACGCACGTGCACCTGTGATTCTATGGGGTGAATTTGTACTTGCAGATGCATTCTATTTTCAAAAAGTACACAATTTATAGATGATCAGTGAATGTGGCGTTTTATAAGTTCCTATGTTAGAAATAAAGCCAGTCTGACTCCAAACCAAAACACAAACGGATTCTAAACAAGGCCTCACACCTAACATGCATTGTCTGACCTAAAATGTCACCTTTTCTTTATAGTGATAAATTCTTTAGTTCTCTCAGGACAGTGACTTGAAAGGAATTCGGGGATTTACTTGTATATATTAATCAATCAAAACCTTCTAACTGATTAAAGATTTAACAGCATCTTCGGTTTGTTTAATACATTGTCATCAGTGGTGTGACCCTTTGATCTTCTACTTATAAATTCTGTGTCTGGTGCTACGTCTCTCACTAACACCTGAAGAAGGAGCAAGGCTCAGAAAGCTTGTGCTTTCAAATAAACCTATTGGACTACAACCTGGTGTCGTGTGACTGCTGACCTTGTCCACCCCAGTCCAACATCGGCACCTCCACATCATCTCAATTGAAACTTCTACAAAATTTGTGTGGAAAAATTTTCACTTTGGGGATCAAATGATAGTTGGGAAATAGGCTCAAAGAAAATTTGCTTATTATTTTCTGTGCAAATGTAATACACCTTTATTTGGTTGCTATATGAAATTGGTACAGTACGTAAAATGATTTGCATCCCTTTACAACAGGAACGATGAGATTGTGATGCCAGAGGAGCAAACTGGTTTTGTGAAGGAGAACTATATATGGAATGTTCTCTTGAATCGTGGGAGCTCACCAGAAGGCATTTTCCTCCACGTACCCCCAGGAACCTACGATCATGATCTATTCACCATGACTTGGGGTCCCACCATAGCTGCACTTTCTTATGTTTTTGACAAGAGCTTAGATGAAACAATAATACAGAAAGCAATATCTGGTTTCAGGTAAAGGTTTTGAAGAGTTAGTCTAGAAATGGCAACATAAACAATAATCTTTTTTTATGAATGAGGAAACTCCACAATAGCAAGCAGGAATTCATGTTTGCCCAAAGGATGTATGTAGATGAAGCACTACAAAAATTCAGGCATGGTATGAGTGAATTCTGTGTGGAGCAGTGACGAGTGTGTTTGTGTGTGTGTGTGTGTTCCTTATTCCAACTAAAACTGTTTCCAACATTGACTGCTCTAGCAGTTTTGAGTTGTAACTTTCTCCAGTTAGGTAATTTTTCTGTAAGACCAACCACATATTGAATCTT